GTTTGGACACGGAGGCTGGTCTGATTTTGGGACTTTGTATTAGAACTCTGAACGGGTTTTGGCGTGGTTTGGAAGCGTTCTGAAACTGTTGTATAAGGGCTATCTTCATAAGCATTTATACTTCAAGGGTCAGGGAACTTAGTAAGCAGGACAATGAGCATGTTACTTGACGTCATAGCTAAGTAACTAAGCACAACTGCAAGGCTCTACTATACTTTCTACATCGCTGGTTATTTAAGTCGAGTTTTTGCAGCGGTTTATACGGGCTAAACGAAGTCTTGAAAGAACCAAGGAGTCCAACCTACCCGAAAACCAAGGGATGCAAAGGTGTCTCAAGAATGATTTTAGGGCTTCTTCAGAAGAGCTGTCATAACGACTCCTCCTTAAACAGGGATGCTCCTGAAAGTTGCGTATGGCTTCATGTTACGACTTCAAGGTTCTTGAGCTCTCTGCGACATGGTTGCACATGGTTGGATGCCAAGCTTGTTCCGTTGTGTCGAAACTGCTTTCTTCAATAGCACTCCTCTCTCGCAATACAGGCCCGCATAGATTGAACCTGACCCCTAAACCTTCAACCCTCAACCCTAAACCGCGGCTCTGACAAGCAGCAAACCCTAAAGACCTTCAAAATGACATCAAACTCAACCCTCCGAGCCGCCCTACAACAACCGGCTCAACAGGTGAACAACCTGCCAAAAAACCCAGAACGTGGCCCTAAACCCTAAACCGCTAAACCCTGAACCCCGCACCCTAAACCGCTTGGGAACTCTGTCTAAACCTTGGAAGCCCTCGAAAAACTCCATAAAACTCTGTTGAAGCCTTACAAAACACCAGTTAACCAAAACCAACTACAAAAAAAGGAAACCAAAACAACGAAACCCTAGGGACCCTTCTAGAAGCCTCTAAAGGAAGCCCTTAATAGTAAATCTTTTTGGAAGAACCCCCATAGCGGAGGCTCTTCTTGGCCAAGGCTCGATGAGTTTCCGCTCCCGGCTGTCCACGCGCACGAGCACGGGCTGCGTGGGGTCGAAGTCCTCAGCCGCCGGGTTGAGGGTGTGGGCGTTTAGCGGCTTGAGACGGTGTCGTGTGGGCTTTAGAGGGTTTAGGGCCGTTTAGGACTTTGGGCGTTGAATGCTGAGGGTATGGTCCAGCTGAGGGCTTGCAGAGGATTGCTACAGGCTTAATCGGAAAGTTTCATAGGGTCTAAATAATGTTTGATTTTTGTGGATTCTGCAGGGTTTAAGCAGCTTGGAAAATCGGGTCGAACAAGGCGTAATTAGATATGGGGTTTAGGGCGTTTTAGTTTTTGACCGGGTGCGACTGAAGAAGTGTATACAAGAGATACGGAAAAGGAGACTTACCCGTCGTGTATTCCTCCTCCTCCCTCCCTTCCTCCTCCCATGCAGCTTCTACGACTGCGATGGCAGAAATGACCGTGATGATGATGACGACGACGACGATGATGATGACGATGACAATGATGATGACGATGATGATGGTGATGACGACGACGATGACGACGACGATGATGATTCCTAAAAGCTCGACAACACCCTTCGAAAACCAAACACGTAACTCTTCGAGCCCTTAATGAAGAACACTTCATCGAGAATCCCGCCAAAACCCTTTAAAGATCTCACAAACCGGTTGTAAAACCAGTTAGGGTCGGGGCATAATGATTAAAACAGGGTTTTGGGGTACTAGTATGTTATACTAGAAGTATAACAAGGAACCCCAAAATAGTATTGGTAAGTGTTTAGGCCCCTGTAGTATGCCAAGGGTCCACCACCTCCTCTTTGGGCTCCTCACCCAAACAATGCTCGGGGCCGGTGGCATCAGACCTCGTCTTGAAAGGGATCTTGGGTTTTGGGCTTTAGGGTGCTAAGGTTTATTTGGGGTCTAGGATTTAGGATTTAGGGCTCTTAGGGTTTAGGGGTTTAGAATGGGGTCTTCCTGTGGTTTTAAGACATGTTTGGGCACAAAGATATCAACAACATGTCATTGGCTGAAAGAGTCTTACGATGCGTGGGTTTTATTTTGGGGTTTTGGGGCTCAAGATAATTTCATGGGTCAGGGGGCTTCGCAATTTAGAGCCTGATTGGTTGATGCCCCCGACTACCCTTAAAGGTACGACATTAGGGATCCTAAGTCTATTCATCAGAAGCCTAATAGACAAGACGAGGGTCCACCCAAAAATAGACTTCTGTGGGTCCGGTGACTTGGTGATGGTATGTAAGGCAAGTAGCGCCATTAGAAACTACAGGCCTAACTACATACAGCCTCAGTTGAGGTAGTTGTGAACCTTCAACCTTCAATCGTGCCCGCTGAACATTGAACAAACCTGCTGAAGTTTCACATGCAACAGACCTGGTGTTGGTAGCAAGCCAGCTCCTATGAACTGAAAGCACTCTGCAAACCAGCTGCGCAAAGCTCAGCACCGCGGTGTCACAGATTCTTTTCTGCCTCTGCGCAAGGCTTCGGCCACGTAGCTTCGAAGGCCATGAAAGGCCAACACGGCAAAAGGGTTCCCTTGAGAGAAAAGATTGCCGGAGTACAGGAGAAATGCGTGTGGTGCCGTGACGTGTCGGAGGCTGTACGTGACATGTCACAAAAGCGATGCTGACAATCCTTCGGAAAGAGCACGCCCAAAAGCCCACAGGCGAAGACAGGGAACGGCACCGTTAAGCTCGCTGTTTCAGGCGTTTCGCGCTGGTGAACTCGGGGTCGTAGATCAGTTTCCATCGGCCAGTCTGCAAGAGCTGGTGCAGAGCTCCAGGCTTGGTGGGCTTTGTCAGGGAGTCTGCGATCTGGGCATCGCTGTTCACCCACCTGACACTTGTCTGACCTTCGCGGACACGCTCACAAAGCGACAGCAGCTCCAAAGCGCTGTACTTTTCCTGGAGCCCGCCTGCCGCCGAGTTCAAGTCTTCTTTGTGCAAGACGTCGTATAAGCTCTTTGCATCGGTGACGAGGATGCCGGGGATGTCGCGGATCTCTGTTCCGGGGCTCCTGAGGTTCACATCGTAGCCCAGCATCTCTTTCCACTGCATCCTGACGAGCATTAGCTCCTCTTCGGCTTCCGAGGCAGCTTGGGTCTCTGCAGCGAGGCTAGAGCGCGCAACACGCTTCAAACGTCCGCTCCTCCAACTGATTGGAGTCACTGCAGCCTGCTCGCCCTCGCTCATGCCTGGAGTGGTGGCACAGATCAAGTACCCTCCCGTTGAGCCATAGTCGGGTCGATTCCCGACTGCAGCATCTGACCAGGCCACAAAAGTGACCTGCTCCGGAGTGATGCCGTCAAGGTCCGTCACCTTGATGTGCATGAAGCGCCCGTGGTAAGCCTCCCTCACAAGCTTGTTGGCCTGCTTGAGCACCCTGACGGTGGCATTATTCACAGAAGACTGCAGCATGCTCAGCTGTACCATCAGCTGGGGTGCCGTGCTGTACGCACGCCATTGCAGTGCGCCCAGGGCGGCACGCAACTGTGCGACTTCATCCTTCGTCGCTGGTGCCTCGTCGCCGCGGTTCTCAAACTTGATTTCATCAATCTGGGCACAGTACTTGGACTGATCCATGATGATCTCACGGTACCCTTCTTTGATCATGACGCCACAGTGGTTGTAACTCACAACCTCCCAGGGACTCCATCGGTAGCTCAGGTGGAACCGGTTGACGATCTCTGTCCATTCGGCGTCCTGCTCGTCGCCCGAAATCACAAAGTCGTCCACGTGCGCAGCTATGATGCCCACGAGCTGCGGCACGCCTCCTTTCCACTTCACGAAGCGCCATGCGCAGGGCTCCGTCTTGAGCTGCGTCATGCCCAAAGAGACCAGAGTCTTATTCACATCTCTGAACCATTCTGCCGGCGCGTTGACGAGGCCGTAACACGCTTTCGCTATCTGGACAACTTCTCCATCCTGAAGATGCATGGCTCTCGCCAATTCTGGCACAGGCTTCGCGAACACGCATCTCGAGATCTGAGTAGGCGCGGTTTGCAAAAATGCAGCACGCACGTCAGCTTTCAAGGTTTTCCACTTTCTCAAAGTGGCCTGCTGATACACGAGCTGGCGCGTACGACGGCTCATTGTAGGGCTACTGCTGATCAGGGTGGCCAAGTCAGGGTCCTGGTAGCCTACGATGACTATTCGTGCCTTCGCGGCACCGGACTCTTTATAGGTAAGCACCCATCTCATGGACATCAATCTGTCCTGGGTGATGTGACCCTGGACACGTCTCGCAGCAGCCTCCTTTATCCACTGATTCACTTCAGCTTGCTTCGCCGCCTCAAAGTCGGCTTTCCCCTTTTCGTCAAGGCGACCAAACCGAACCTCCTGTTTGCGAAGTCCCTTAGCCATCCAGACCGTGGGGTCACGTCTCAAACGCTTCCACTGGTTATCATTCTTAGGCAAAGGGAGCTCGATGACACACATCACCTGGTCGTCGGGCTCAAGCTGAACAAAGGTCTCGACACCCTGCTGCGAATCACCTCCTAGAGCATCACTTTCAACAAGCATACTGGATGGTGCCTGTGACGAACTGGCTCCACCCTGTGAGCTGGTGGTCGGTGGTGCTCCAGACCCTGGTGATGGTGGTACTTGTCGTGACTTGGTACCCTGAGGCTTCTGCTTCTTGAAGAGTGGCACTGGCTGCTGCTGTGCTGCTTGTGCTGCTTGCTGATCCATCAGAAAACGGAACAGAGTAGGGTCGTAGCTAGGATCCCCAAGGTACCTGTACGGGTCAACTGCAGGCAAAGTAGAAGGGGGACCACCAGGAGTGCGAGGAGCTGAGTTCTGAGCACTTCTTTCTCGCTTTTCTGCGTTCGGTCGGCTGTCTAAAGACTTCTCTCGAGAACCACCAGGAGTGCGAGGAGCTGAGTTCTGAGCACCTCTTTCTTGCTTTTCTGCGTCCTTGTCTGCTTTCCTGACAGGTGTCTCCCGGCCTGGCGTCCTTGATCGTGCCCGTGATCTGCTCCGCGGTCCCGCAGGTAGGGCACCGATGTCCTAGGGGAACACATAGTCGTCGAAGATCTCATAGCCGCCGCCCTCCAACGACTGCAAAATGCTATGGAAGGTCCATGGTGGTGTCGCGGCATCGGTGGCCTCGGCGATGGCAGCCTCACGCTCCGATGCATGACGTAGCTGGTCCGGGCTGCACCGCTTCAGGCGACCGCCAGAAATGATCCACACTGTTTGTCCGGGCTTCCTTGTCACACCCCTGTTGTCGTTTCTGGTCTCGGTGGCCAGCACCCGGCCCGGTCCAAACCAGCGTCCCATGCCAACCTTCGCAAAGCCGAGGCCAGGGTGTGCCGGTGCGTCGGCCGGCGGCTGAACACGTCTGTAAAAGACCAAATCTCCAGGCACAAAGACAACCTTGCGCCGCGTCTTCATGTTGAGCAACCGGCCTAGCTGGTATGATGCCTGAGACCTGCGGGCAATGTCCTCCGCAGCCTTGCGTGCTTCCATGTGGTCGTAGAAGGTGTGGCCTTGCTGGAGCGAGTTCTGCACGGCCGGAAGGTCTTGCTCACTCTCAAACAGACGCCCTCCTGGTCCGAAGTCTCGCCCAAAAGCCCATTGGGATGGGCTAAAGCCTTGCACGCGATGCACAGTGTTGTGAGCCGCCGCGCTGTGAAGAAGGGCCCGGTGAGCACCAACAGGGTGTCCTGCAAGAAGAGTTGTGGCATCCTGCTTCAGCTTCTTCACAAGGGACTCCACCTGGCCTATCTGGTGATGTGCCTCTGCAGGGCACGGTGTCACCTCAATCCCAACATCTGCGGCCCAGGCCTCGAGGAGTCGAGAGCGAAAGCATCCCTCGGGATCACACCTTAGCCGGTCTGGGAAACCAAAGGCCTGAGTCCAGTGCTGCTCCAGGGCCAGGATAGCCTCCTCGGCCGTTGCGTTTCGGCCTTCCTGGTAGTGCCGCTCAAACAGCTTCGCCACAACCACAAAGTGCGTCGCCTCGTCGGTGATGACCATGAAGTGGGTCACCGTATCCTCGACCCTCAGCTCGGCATTGTCAATCTGTACGACTCTCCATGGGACCTCGCTCTGCTGCAAAGAAACACTGGGAGAGAGGTCCGGAAGGCGCATCTCTTGGCAGTCGGGGCACGTGTGCTCCATTGCGATCTTGATCACCTCGTGGTGCGCTCCACATGCCCTAAGGACTTTGGCCAGAGTTTTCCCGGAAGGGTGACCAGCACGAACATGAAGACGATGTACCAAAGCTTCGGCTCGCTTGCGGTCAGCAGGCTCAAGCTTCGACTCCAAAAGGGGCTCGTCACTCAAGCCAAAGGCCTTCTCCTCATGCTCGTTCCCACCCCGGTGGTCGGCCTGGAGGGCAAACTCAGCAACCGCCTTGCACAGCTTTTCGGGATATCTCGAGGATACCGACAAGGGCCGTGACATAGCCGATGGTGCCCGTCGCTCTGAAGTCGCGGCCTGAGCGTGGACGATGGCTCTCTGAAGGGCAGGGCTGGTGACAACGATTCGCCACGCTTTGCCCGCCGTCTTATCCTCAAAGACGACAACATGCATCGCAGCTTGCTTGGCCAGCTTTCGAAGAAAACCCTTCACCTCGGGCTCCTTCCATGCTGGGCTGTCCTTGGGCCACTCCCACGCAACATGGCCGCCTCGCTTCACCTGGTCCTCGGCCAGACGGAGAGCGGTCTTCATCATCTTGCGCCCGCGCTTGCGACGGTACTGCCAAGTCTTGCGTTGCTCCGGGCCTGCCTCAGGTGGCTCATTCGCAGGAACCTCCAGCCCTGCACTTGACACTGAAACCCACAACAGAGCTGGTGCCAAAGCCCGTGCTGCTTCAAGGGCCTGGTCTGCCCCTGTCTTGCGCCCGAAGTCGAACTCAAAAGGGCTCATCCGGGCGGCCGCTCCATGCCTTTGCTCCACAGCCGTGCGTAGCCCAATGGTCGCCGAAGTCCCGACCTCCAGGAGATGGATTCCCGAGTGATGCCGGGGAAGCTCGGCAACATCGCCGTCGAAGCCGTCGAGGATCTCCTTCACTGAGTCCCGAATCACACCCGCCTGGTTCGCATCAAGATTGCCGGGCGCAGTCAGGAAGCCCTCCTCGTCGAGGATCATGCGCCCGATTCGGGAGGATTGACCTTGGTCCACGTGTCCTCCTTCTCCTGGGCCTCCTGGAGTTCCGCATCCTTGGCATTCTGCCGCTTGGCACTCTTCTTCGGGATGCGCTTGGTCTCGTCCACGGCACTCATTCCAGAGCTCTCTGAGTCCGAGTCCACGTGCTGGGGTGGTTCCGGCTTCTTCTTCGGCTGCGCACCTCGCTCCTTCAGCTTGTCCTTGGCCTTGGCGTCGGCGCTGGGGACGTCGTTGGGGTAGCCGTCCTTTGCCCTGCTGCTCTCCGCCTTGTTCATGGCCTGGGCCTTCTGAGAGCGCACGGTCTCGAGACGGCGAAGAAGAGAGTCCTCGGCACCCTGGAGTGCCGCCGCCTTCGCGTTGAGGATCTCCTTGGCCCCCGGCTCGCCCGCTGCCACGCGCTCCTCCATGATCTCCACGGCTTTCTTCGCATCTGCAGGTAGGGGCCCAGCCTGGCGATAGTGAGCGTGCGCGCCGAAGGCCGGGACATAGAGGAGTCGAAGCCTGCACTCCTTGCAGACTTCCCAGCGCCCGTGTGCGTTCGCACCAGACAAGCTGCCGCGTCCCGCCGGCATCGGCACATGATTGCCATGGCACGGCGGACCGGCTGTCCTTGGATCCCTCGGATCGGGACCCGCAGCCCTTGACATGTCGTACTCGGTCTTGACCTTGTCGGCCTTTGTCTTCGACTTTGCCTTGCTGGCTGCTTTCGGGGGGGCTGCTGTGGCACCGCTGCTCTCGGCCGGCGCTCCCTTGTCCTTGGACGCCATGATCGCGAAGAGGAAGTTGACGGGAGAAGAGTCGGGACCACAGGTGCCCCATCGAATCTCGAGAGATCTCGTCAGCAGCGGTCAAATCAAACACTGGAACATGGTTCGGCACTGCATGGTCTGAGGTCTCAAACAAAACATGCCTGCTCTGCTCACGCTTCCCAGGTTGACCCTCAGAGGAACTAGCACTGCTAAAGGTAGGCACAGCAGACGGCACGACCGCATGAGCATGTTCTCCGTGTTGTTCTGGAGGTTCGGGTCCTCGAGGCTGTTGTGGTAGAGGTGGTTCAGGTAGAGGTTCATGAGGATTGTCGGGAAGGCCTCCAGGCTCACACACATGCACGGCTCCCTCGGCTCTCTCCTTATATCCGGACAGGACCTGGCTCAAGACGGTTCCGGAAAAGCTTTGGCTAGCACCTGGTGTGCGCAGCCAGTCGTGCACTAGGTCCAGCAAAAGGTGGCCAGACGCACTCTCCTGGAGCCCTATCACAACTCCAGGGTCGATGGCCTTGAACACAATGGTCCTGCGCTGAAAGTTGATCTCTGCACCCAGCTTCTTGAGGGTGCGGATGCTCAGGAGAATGGGGATGCGTGGCACATCCAAAGCAAAAACTCCGAGAGCCACGGGCCTCCCTGCCAAGGTCTGTGGCACCTCCACATATGAAGTCGCGGTCTCCTGCTGGGCGTTGCCAAAGCGGAAGCTTCTCCGGGCCTCCGGGTATATGCGAACGTTCTCCAAACCATAGCGGGAGCGCCGCATAGAGACGATAGCCTCGATCGCCTCCAGGCTCCCCACCGTCTCTGTCGCACCACTGTCTATCACAGCATAGCCCGGGTGAAGCTGACCCGCAACAGACATCGCCGCCTCTACTTGGAAGTTGCCGAAGGCGAGGTCATCGGCCGGCATCCCCTCAATGACGTGCATGTAGCAGAGGGGCTCGTCCTCGGGCTCCTCGATCGTCTCCTCCGGCTCCCGGCTCGCAGTATTCACCATCAGAACCTGGCCCGTGCCGAGTGTGCCGGTGTTCTCGGGGACGCCCTCGGGGACCTCATCCTCCGCAGCCGCTTGCACCATGTAGGTCGAGGACTCGTTCCAGGCGCCGTCGCCAAGAAGGTGGGCCGCCGCTGTTCCAGAGCCTTTCCCAGCACCACGCTTTGGGCACCGGCGGAAGTCATGGTCCTTGGCGCCACATATGAAGCATCCCGTGTATGAGGCACTGCCGGGCTTTTGGCCGCCATCTGCCGCCAAAGCCGTAGAGGAAGGTGGTCCGGAGGTAGCGGCTCCCTTCTTGCCCTTGCCTTTGCCCTTGGGGCTGAACGACCCCTTTCCTTTTGACTTGCCCTTCCCCTTTCCCTTGCCGGTCAGGGGGTAGAAGCCTCGGGCAGTGTTCCGTGCCGCCACAAGCTGGCGGGACTCCTTAAAGGAACGCACCTTGTCCTGAAAGAGGGCCAGCGCTTCTTGCATCTCCTTGCCGGTGGTGGGGTCCACGGCCATGGCCTCGTTCACGTCGAACCACGGCTTCGCATCGGACCAGTTCCACCAAATGCCCTCGGGGTCCTCGGTCCACCAGTCACCGTCCTGGTAGTACCAGAACACCTCGGCATCTCCATGGAGTGTGCACCAGGCCTCGGGCTCCTCTTCCGCAGCAAAGACGGGGTGCACTTCCTCGGGCAGGCGGTCGCCCACCCAGTGAATATTGCCCTGGGCCTCGTCGGGGATGGGCTCGTCCAAAAGAAGGCCCCATGAGCCTTCTTGCTCCACCCAGTAGGTCCGCTTCGGTCCTCGGCGTTCTTCGGCCTGAAGTAGATCCTCTTCCTGGTCGCGAAGAGCCCGCTCGATGAGATCGATGTCCAGGCGGTTGTTCGTTGCAGCCAGGACCGACAGCCGAGCATGTGAAGGCAGGTGGGCCCTCCTCAGCAAAATCCATCCAAGCACCTCGGGCGGAAGCGCGTCGATCTCCTCCAGCTGGAACTTCTCCCACTCGGGCTGGACCTCGTCCTCGTCGTCGGTCTCGTCCTGGTTCCGCCCGCGGGAGGAATAGTTCCAGCCACCCGCGTCGTAGTTGTTCCACCAGGCTTCCCACTCGGCCGCAGTCCATCCGCGGCTCCCGCGGTCACTCCTCTCGTCGGCCACCGGTGGGTGATCATCCACCTGGTCTCCTGGGTGAACTTCTTGCACTTCGTCATCGGCCTGGGGCTCCGGCTCCGCAGTGGTGTCGCTCCTTCGGCGGTCTATCGGTAAGCCTGAGCCCTCCGTGGAAGCCCTCGGGGAGGTAGCTCCAAGTCTCCTTGGTGAGGTCGCCGTGGTGCGCTTGGGTGAGCCACGAGCCCTGGCCAGGGCCCGCTGCAGCCGCCTATAGCATTCTCGCAGCTCGGTGGTCCATTGCACCATCCGCGACCCAGGTTGTCGCCGAAGTCGGACCAGAAAGTCCTCAAGTCTGGTCCCCAGGTCTGGGACCGGGCTGCGACCCAGTCTGAGTTCAAGGTATTCAAGGAGATAAGTGGCGCCCTCCTTCTGCTGGAGGCGGGCATGGTCCAGATCAGAGCTCACATCCCAGGCCCGGCCGGTAAGACGACTTGCCAGCTCTGCGCCGATGAGGCGCCGCTTCTTGGGTGGTGTTCTTTCCCAGTGAAGACGCACCTTTCTCACATAGTTGTTCCAACCAGCAGCTTCCCCGTCCCAAGACGGGACCTGATCGCGGTCACGCCGTTCCATGTACCTCTGCCGGAAAACTGGAGAGCAGGAAGCCACGCCAACAGAAAACAAGGTTGCCCTGGATCTCGCTGTGACTCCTTTCTCGCACGAGCCTCACCCTTTTCAGGGCAGGCTCCGCTACCAATGTTGGTAGCAAGCCAGCTCCTATGAACTGAAAGCACTCTGCAAACCAGCTGCGCAAAGCTCAGCACCGCGGTGTCACAGATTCTTTTCTGCCTCTGCGCAAGGCTTCGGCCACGTAGCTTCGAAGGCCATGAAAGGCCAACACGGCAAAAGGGTTCCCTTGAGAGAAAAGATTGCCGGAGTACAGGAGAAATGCGTGTGGTGCCGTGACGTGTCGGAGGCTGTACGTGACATGTCACAAAAGCGATGCTGACAATCCTTCGGAAAGAGCACCTGGGGCCTTGTCCCGGCCTGTGACTCCGGCTCTGCAAATAGCGCCGAAGCTTCTAAAGCGCAGCACTTCGACCGGCAACCCTTGAAGTTGGATGTCCATTGCTAGTATCACCGGATTCACACCCAAAAGGTTCTGAGACACGCTCACCAGCATTGCTGAAGACCCAATAAGCTACATACACTAACCGAATTCCTTAATCTAAACCTTGCTTCATACGACACACTATAGGGACCTTGCACATTAGGACAGGGTGGAGTAGCTCATACTATACTTTAATTACTTCAGACGAAGTAGTCTGGGCGGGAATAGCAAATGATTAATCCCCTGAAAAGTCTCGATATGCTGAAAGTATAGTACACCCCAAAACCCTATTCTAATTGCTGAAGGCCCCCAGACCAAACCCTTGTAGTAACCCTTATAGACCCCTTGTAAAAGGAAGCCATTAAATGGAAACCTTGTGGTAGCCTTTGTAGACCCCTTTGAAACAACGAATCCTGCAAGGAAGCCATTTGACGAAACCCTCAACCCTAAACCGCTAAACCCCTAAACCCTAACCTTTATACGAAGTATCTTTGCCAGGCGGCTGTTTCAAGGCCAGGTAGTGCGCCCAGCCGCGCATGCTGCGCGACCACTTGCCTCTGCGGTTTCTGGGTCTGAGGACTTTGGGTTTGGGGACGTAGAGGGGCTTCAAGGACTGTGTTTAGGTTTAGGGGTTAGGATATAGGGTTTAGAGTTCTTTATGGGGCTTAGGGTTGCAAGGGGTTGACGATTTCATAAGTAGGAGGTCTAGGGCTTCGGGATTTGGGGCTAATTGGAGGAACCCTACCTCCACGGTCAACCTTTCAGCATCCACAGGCTTAATAACAGGATAGGAGCTCCCCACGCACTGAATCCCTGCCTGATCTACCAAGAAACCCTGCACCCCCAGCCGTTGCAAAGCCCCCCGAGAAAAGCCTGTTCAAACCCTTACAAAATCCCCCGAACCTGTTGCAAGTACCAACACGCTTTCCTACAGGGAACCCGTATCAAAGCTACAAAGCTCAACATAAAGGTGCGAAGAACCAGAGATTACGCTATAATCCCTGCACGGTTATCTCTGTAGTATACCCGCGTCCGGCCCCACATAGAACCCTTACAAAGTCCTTTACAACACCATTCTGACAACACGTTCAAACCATTACACCACAAGAACTCCCGCCCAAAAAACGGAAAATCCCTACAAGACCCGAAGCAACCGGCCAGGGGGCCCTTAAACCCCTCAGCCCTAAACCGGGGCTCTACACGCCCAAACCGGGACCACGGCCCTGGGTTCCGGCATCCCGGAGATCCTGCGCGAATTTCGAGGAATCGGAGGCCAGGGCCTTGGAAGAATCCGGTTTGGGGCTTTAGGGTTTGAAGGTTTAGGGTTCAGGGTTTGGGGTTTAGGGGTTTAGGGTTTAAGAAGTTTAGGGCTTTTAGGACTTGGGGTTCAGGAGTTTTAGAGATCCTTGGAGTTGGAGGGTTTTTGGACAAGCTTTGTAGGTCGTTAACAGCCTTTTTTAAAGGCTTTTATGTAGAGCTTTACAAAGCGCTTGTGGATGCTTAACCCAGTTTGGAATAGGTGTCAGAGTGCTTTCTAAAGAGCTTTGAGGGTTCATAAGGGTTTCGTAGGTTGTAAGGGGCTTCTAGAGTTTTACGAAGGCCTCTTGCGTTGCTAATGGAGTTTCTGAAGGGCTCATGGGGTTTATGAGTTTATGGGGTTTTATGAAGGTGGCATGAGGTTTTTCAAGGTGTTTAAGTATTCTAAAGCGCGAGTGTAAGGGGCCCTAAGGGGTGTGTGAGGTCTGCGATTGGTTTTATGGCGGGCTTTCTTCACCAAGGCGTCTTGACACACACTATGGGATTCCCACTCTCAAGGTAAAGAGAATTTGTTAGGGCGGTCGTGCGTGGCGGATTCGTGGCGGATATGAAGGATGCAGGAGCCTAAGGCGCAGTGCATCTTTGTGCCCACACCGTACTACCTACACAGGATCCGTGCGGCCACCAGGCTGAGGCTGAGGCTTCAGAGTTGATTCCGCCGCAATGGGGGTTTGTCTCAGAGGCTTTGGGACGGGCGGCTAGGCAATGTAGACACCAGACTAGCAACTCCTTCTCTAAGGGCCTTGACATTAAGATCCGTAGCATTGTCCTGACTACGGCACGGGAGTACTTGCCAGAGGTCTGCATGTTCTAACAACCTCATGAAGAGTTCTTGTAAAATGTTGAAAGCAGATCTGCACGTCGCAGTGGTGGCATGGTAATGGCAGTGGCATCAGTGGCATCGATATTAATATGCGTGACAGTAACGGTGGTTCAAGAGGTTCGGTATTGGCAGAAGCTTAAGTGTATAGCTAGGAGGCCAGCAAGGCGTCGGCGTCGGTCAGGGTAGAAGTGAACTGCAATCGCTTACCTTGGAGTCATGATTTAGGGTTTGGGATCATATCATCGGTTATTTAGGGCTGGCCGCTCTCAACCCCAAAATCCTGGCCTTGAGTTCTTTGCTGCTGCTGCTACCCCGAGAGCCCAAACACCCCTTAATTAAGGGTCTACCTTAGACCATAGGGGGCTTTATAATATGATGATTTTCCGGCATATTGCTTACATAAGGGGTATTGGGCTCTCGCATTCTAGAACAGCGACTGCTGCCCCTGCTTCTACTCGTCCTGGTACAAGTACTACTAGCTAGCACTGGAATGAGGACGAGGATAGCCACTGCTAATACCAAAAACCGTACTTCTCCCGCTGCCACCACTACTGCACTTGTTTTTTTCAATTACAGGTTGTGGTGATCGTGGCAACACACTTTAGTTACCAAAACGTTTCACTACTATATGGGTGTGAATAATTGCTTATGCTGCGAAACCATGCCCCGAAACCCAATTCTAATGATTTGGGGCCCTGTGCTACGCCTGCCCTTTGAAGGCCGAACTCCGGCAAGGCGCCTTTCCGCGTGATCTCAAAGCTCTGGGAGGAAAAGCACCGTCCCAATCGTGCCATGCAAGTCCTCCACATGGCTAGTGGCCGTGACCGAATGTTCGGGCCGCAGGGCTGTCATCATTCATAGGCAGCAGCAGCTGCAGCAAGAGGAGGAGGAGGTAGAGGAGTATAGAAACCCAAAACTGCACCTATACCTAAACCATAAGGTTGGATATTCCGCACTTGCCTCGTTCAGTAACCAATAAGACAAAGATATCTCACATATATGTCTATGTTTGGGTGCTTGTTGTTCCTAGTAGCTGTAACAAAAATAGTACAACAAATAGTTGTCACAAAAACTAGTACGAGTACTAGTAAAAGCAAAATATTAATGACTACTACTACTACTACCACCACCACCATCACCACCGCGACGGCTACTACTGCTGCTACTACTACTACTACTACTACTACTACCACCACTGCCACTGTCACTGCCTCGGCCACTGCCACTGCGACTGCTACTGCTACTGCTACTGCTACGGCTACTGCAGCTACTGCTGCTACGACTACTACGACTACTACTACTACTACTACTACTACTACTAGAACGTGAACTAGTGTAACTTACAGTGTGAGTAATAGCAGTAGCAGTGGTCCCTGTAACAGAGCGGTTGCAGTCCGAAGCCTCTCGGGCTGCCTCGGGCAAAGCACGTAGGACTTTGGGCTTGGAATCGACACCCGAAATGCTGAGCGCCTTAACCCTTACTAAACCCCGGCCACGGAAGTCCTGTGACATAGCCGCACCACGCTGCCCAGGAGGGGCGCGCGCATGGTCATGGGTGATCAGCTCATCGTGTAAAGCTGACGGTTCTAGGGTTTGGGGCCGTTTAGGGCTCAGGGTTTTGGGTTCAAGGAGCTCCTTGTAGTCCCTTCGTGCCTTTAGGGCTTGAGGCAATGTGGGCTATCTTCGGTGGTTCCAGGAGTCAGGAAGTTCAGATGTCAGTTTGGTGAGGTTTCGGACCATGGCCCTTCCGTTCATTCAAAGTCGACTATTTTCAGGCCATCACGAGGCTCCAAGGACAGAACTCTGGCTGACACTTTGCTCTGTGCCACGATGTCACCCGCATCATGCAAGGCTCGCGCTACCGGCGTTTAAAGCAGACTGGCAGCTCTGTTTGAGCCCAGCTGGACGGCCCCGAACTGTTCGCGGACGTGGGCGAAGCAAACTCGTAGCCGGTCATACCCCACTGACACTGGCAAGCAGTGTAACACATGTAGCAACGGTATCGCGAGCAGCAACAGTGTTTGGACTGGTGTAATATTTGGTCAGAAGCAGTCGTAGTAGAGGTGGTGGTAGTAGTAGTAGTAGTAGTAGTGGTAGTAGCAGCAACAGCAGCAGCAGTAGCAGTGGTAGTGGTAGTGGTAGCAGCAGCAGCAGTAGCAGTAGTAGTGGTAGTGGTTGTGGTGGTAGTAGCAGCAGCAGCAGTACTAGTGGCAGTGGTGGTGGTAGCAGTAGCAGTAGCAGTAGCAGTAGCAGTGGCAGTGGCAGTGGCAGTAGCAGTAGCAGTAGCAGTAGTGGCAGTGGTAGTGGTAGTGGTAGTGGTAGTGGTAGTAGTAGTAGTAGTAGTAGTAGTAGTGGTAGTGGTAGTGGTAGTAGTAGTGGTGGTAGT